CGGCCCTTTAACAGCGACCTTATCGTAGCAGCGCCCGCATACCTGTGAAGAAAAGTTAACCTGCAAAACCTATGAAGAAAAGTTAACCTGCAAAAGAAGACATTAACTGAGGATGGGTAGGGTGGGAGAAGCTCTGGAGCCAAGTGAGGATTCCCAGGTAAGATCCTCCCTCTATTGTGTGGGCAGGTAATCCCTCCCCCTACCTGGCCTTGTCTCCTTGGCAATGCTTCCCCCAGGTGGGATTGGACAACTGACTGAGGTAGGCGGGGACCTCCAGGTATCCCACCTGAGGGAAGGCAAAGCCAAGCCTATGCTGATGGGGCCGCTCCAGATCTAGGGCTGCGCGTGTCCACGCAAAGGGCGCCCCCCGTTTTAAGCGGGGAGCGGTCATTGTAGAAATGTTTATTCTCTGGCGAGCTTAGAATGACCCCTGTATGTGTTACGATATGAGAGCAATGCAGCTGCAAACTGGCAGCTTGGTGAAAACATCACATGATGTGACCAGCTGTGGGAAAGAATCTTCCCGGAAGTTCACAGGCTTAAAAAGTCTTTGCTCTGTGTGCAATATGAGACCTTCCTGTTGCGTTTGTGAAGGAAGTCTTAGCCTCTTGCTTGCTGAACACTGAACTGTTTGGACATGTTTTTTGTAGAGTTGCACAGTCAGATAATAAACAAGATGTAAAGGACTTTCTGGCTATCTTCTTTCCCTGCTAGGGAAGCAAGGGGGAGAAGGAGGGTGTGCATTTTCCACGCTGGGAAATGTCGCCTATCGAAATCTCCTGGTCTGCGGAGATTGCAGCCAGGGCAGATCACCGGTAAACAAGCTCTGAGAGCTGGGAGAGCTGCCAGTCTCTCCGGAGGGGGGTTTTACAACATATGGTAGCATATGGAGGTCGATGGATCGTAAAAATATGTATTGCGATCACCCAGAGAAACCTTAGCAAGGTTTAAGGAGTTTTGTGATAAGGTTAAGAATATTCATGATGCTAATATTGATTATCTTTTCACAGATGAAAAGCCAATTTTTCTTTCACAGGATTTTCAGAGTTTCCTCAAGAGACAAGGGATAGAGCATAAGATTGCTGTCTCAGAAGCTGCATGGAACAAAAGTGTGTGTGTAAAGGTGAACAAAGAATTGCAGAATGGCATGAATGCACAATTGCTGAGTTCACATTTGCCACATGAGTATTGGGCTGAATCTTTATCTTCTTTTTGTTACACTTGGTTAAGAAAGGTTTCAAAAGGTATGGAAAGTTCTCCTTTTGAAAGGCTGTTCCACAGGAAACCTTCTGTCACATATTTTAAGGTTTTTGGGTCTCACATCCGGACAGATACTCCAGATGGGGTAAAGAATGCCAGAGGCAGCAGCAGGAGGCCCCATTAGCTAAAGTGGTACCTCAGGTTAAGGACAGTTTCAGGTTAAGAATGGTCCTCCAGAACGAATTAAGTTCTTAACCCAAGGTACGACTGTACTGCTGAGAAATGAAATATTTTCTACTTTAATCAATAGGATTTGAATGGCATTTTTTAAAGCCCAAAGTTTCAAGCACTGGAACTGAAACTGTTACTAACAATTGGATATTTGTCTATTTTGACTGGCTAAAGTAAAGCTTAATCTTAACTCGCCTGATATTGAGGTCTGAAGGAAATGTGATTGTAGTACAGTGGTACCTCAGGTTACATACGCTTCAGGTTGCATATGCTTCAGGTTACAGAGTCCGCTAACCCAGAAATAGTGCTTCAGGTTAAGAACTTTGCTTCAGGATAAGAACAGAAATCGTGCTCCGGTGGCGCGGCAGCAGCAGGAGGCCCCATTAGCTAAAGTGGTGCTTCAGGTTAAGAACAGTTTCAGGTTAAGAACGGACCTCCGGAACGAATTAAGTACTTAACCCGAGGTACCACTGTATTGGCATCTCTCTGCCATGGGGTGGAATGGGGGATTCACTATAGCAGAGATTGCCATTTCACTCGCCCAGGCAGAAATCTGTGGATCTGCCAACTTGTGCCTTGCATTAATTGACAGAGTGAGGTTTATTGTGTTGCAAATTTAGTTGCAACTCTGAATAAGTTTACTCTGCCACAAAGTTTGCTTGTAACTGGTGACTGGCAAACTTCTCCCGGCCTGGTTCAGAAGGGTCCTCAAGAAAGCGATTTACATTTAAAATAAATCCCCAAGATAAACTATCGGGGATGAGTGTTGCTTCCAACAATCTCCTAAAGGCCTCATTGCCAGCCTGTCTCCCCACTGCCCTCCCCCATCTCTTTTCAAAATTGCTCAGTGGGATTTGGTGCAGGGAAGCCTATCACAGCAAAGGAGTAGATGCAAAGTCATCAAAATAAAAATGGCATTTGCTTCCCAGTATTACCGTTCAGAGCCACCAAAGTAGTTTAAAGATCATCTCATCTCATTTTTGACGTTGTTAAGAATTCCCTAACAAAGTCAGAGGCTTGGCAAACATCTCAGTAGCTGCCTGTGAGGCTTCAGCTCCAAGTCATAAAAGTAGGATAAAAAAAGGTAAAGGACCCCTGACAGTTAAGTCCAGTCGTGAACGACTCTGGGGTTGCGGCGCTCATCTCGCTTTACTGGCTGAGGGAGCCGGCGTTTGTCCGCAGACAGTTTTTCCAGGTCATGACTAAGCCGTTTCTGGTGAAACCAGAGCAGTGCACGGACATGCCGTTTACCTTCTGGCTGGAGTGGTACCTATTTATCTACTTGCACTTTGACGTGCTTTCGAACTGCTAGGTTGGCAGGAGCTGGGACCGAACGATGGGAGCTCACCCCATTGGGGGGATTCGAACAGCCAACCTTCCAATCGGCAAGCCCTGGACTCAGTTGTTTAGACCACAGTGCCACCCATGTCCCTGATAAAAGTAGGATACAAGAAGCCTAAGAATTAGCATGGTAACAGCCTATGCTTGAGAACGTTTCCTTGGATGTAAGTTCTATTGATTCCAAAGGGATTTACTTCCAAGCAAGGGTGCTTGCAATGGTAGCCTCCACTACCCAATTACTGGCTCGGATAACTGCTTAAAACTTGCATAATGCACAAAACAGCTTCAATTGTACCTCACTGGGCTGATAATTACAATTTGGAGAGTAATACCAGTCCATTTGATAAAAGGCAACTTTGAGTGATTGCTCTTTGAAAGAGAAGCAACAACAGAGCATTGCAGTCCCAGTTGCAGTGCCAACCTCCCCTTGACAGTGATAAATTAAGGAGTGACAAAGTGAACTCAAACAGATCTGGATTAAAAACGGCCACAACTTTATGGGCTACAGAAGAGGGTAGAACTTTGGCTCAGGCATTGGGTGTGTAGTAGATCTATTCCAAACTTCTCCCAGAGGGCTAAAGCCATTTCAGGGTCATGCCAAAGATCATGCCCCTCGCCTCCCAAGATGCTGATCTCCAGAGGTGGAGTTCAGCCTCCACTGGAAGTTCTATGGCTCATCTCCCCCATGCTTGGTTTTGGGACAGAAACTTCCCCTGAGACCCCTCTAACAGGGTACCCTGAATCCACTGCTGGTTAAGGACAGGGTGATGCCACAGGGTGATGGCAAGAAGTGAGGATGAGGCATCAACTGTCTCCCACCCAGGAAAGGGGTGAGTAGCTGTTCTAGTACAGAGAGCAGCACTACATCGTCAACAGGACTGTACCACCTCAGTGCTGTGAAGGAATAGATCTCTTTACAGTGAAGTGAAAAGCCACAGCGTGGCATTTGTACGGAGCCCCCAGTCATCTCGCAGACTAGTGACCCATACACCACTAATCCGCTGCCACCAACCAGGTCCTGCATGGTAAATCACTTAGTCTCGGCCAGGTTCTCAAGTTAACAAAGAAGAGTGTACAGTGGTACCTCGGGTTAAGTACTTAATTCGTTCCTGAGGTCCGTACTTAACCTGAAACTGTTCTTAACCTGAAGCACCACTTTAGCTAATGGGGCCTCCTGCTGCTGCTGCGCCGCCAGACTACGATTTCTGTTCTCATCCTGAAGCAAAGTTCTTAACCTGAAGCACTATTTCTGGGTTAGCAGACTCTGTAACCTGAGGCGTATGTAACCTGAAGCGTATGTAACCCGAGGTACCACTGTAGTTTACTTCAGACACAAACAAACTTTAACTGCATTCCAAACGATGTTACTCTTTACCTTCTTAGTCTTATTTTATTCTGTCTCTAACTCTTCTACCTCCCCTCACACAAGAACCAACTGCACTAACTGTCTCTCTATTTCCAACTGCCTGCCAACTGCTTTTCCAACTGCCTTTCCCAACCAACCAACCCACTAAAACCAACCAACTAACCACACCCAAACCTCGGGCTAAGCCCTTTTATAAACAGGTAGGCTCTGCCTCCGGCTTTCCTATTGGTCTACATTTTAACCCTTTCTCTCTCCTCCGTACAGACATTTTCAAATGAACGGGCAAACGCCACCCACAGCATCACATGTCATAGCATATTACATTTACCAACCTTCTAAAGGTAAAGGTACCCCTGCCCGTATGGGCCAGTCTTGCCAGACTCTAGGGTTGTGCGCTCATCTCACTCTATAGGCCGGGAGCCAGCGCTGTCCGCAGACACTTCCGGGTCACGTGGCCAGCGTGACGAAGCTACTCTGGCGAGCCAGAGCCGCACACGGAAACGCCGTTTACCTTCCCGCTGGTAAGCGGTCCCTATTTATCTACTTGCACCCGGGGGTGCTTTCGAACTGCTAGGTTGGCAGGCGCTGGGACCTAACGACAGGAGCGCACCCCGCCGCGGGGATTCGAACCGCCGACCATGCGATCGGCAATTCCTAGGCACTGAGGTTTTACCCACAGCGCCACCCGCGTCCCTACCAACCTTCTAGAGACACCCAATTAAGTCTTTGCATTAGACTAGGGATGAGGAACCTGTTTCTTTGCCTGACTGCAGCTGTCACCCTCAACTAGGACTGTTACGTATTCTTGCCAGGGCTTATAGGCATCCAACAACATTCCTTCATTAGATAATTACGAACATACCTTTCTTTGAGACGTTGCTGTGATCTTTGTGGAAGTTCTTCAGTTTGCTTGTGTATTTTTTTAACGTTTCATTTATTGCTTGACTGCTTTCGTTACACTGTAGTTGAAGTAGATGTGGGTTCACGAAAGACCCAAGGCAACGATTCAGCTTAAAGGCTTTATTGAGGCCTCAGGAACAAACTAGGGAAACAGGGGAAAGGGTCTGATTTATATACATTTATTTTTTTAACATAAACAAATAATCAAGTTTATTTTTAAGTGCATGAATAAGTGTATGGTTTCGGTTTATTTTTCTCTTGTCAGTTTCTTAAATCTTACTTCCTAACAACTTCAAACTGAATTATTCCCAACTATCTATCTAACTCCCTAACAATTCCTCTCACTCTCTCACAATACAACTCGACCAACCCACTGCCTATTCCTCCCTCTTCCTTCTCCAGTTCCCAAACCTCAACTCTCAACTCCCAAACCTCAACTGACTTTCAAAACCTCCGACTCTAACTTTTACTCCCCCCCCCTTGCATTCTCACTGACCAATCACATCACACCCATTTTAACCCTTTCCTTATGACCCATCCTAGGAGGCAAACGCCACAAGGCCTCAGGAACAATCCAGGGAAACAGGGGAAAGGGTCTGATTTATATACATTTTGGCCAACCCCTGGCAACACCCACCTAGTACATGATTGGCTGCTTTGCACCAGGCAGTGAATCACAATGCAGGCCAGGCTTCCGAAGCCTGCATTGTGATGCGAACTCAAGCTCAGAGCAGGAGACATTATGGAATATACCCATAATGTATTTTTTCATGTTATAAGCCACCTTGAGCATGGTTTAAACTGTGGAAGGATGGTGTACAGATATAATTATGTATGTATGTATGTATGTATGCATGTATGTATGTATGTATGTATGTACAGAGCCCTGAATAACTTGGGACCCAAATAATTAAAGGAGCACCTTCCCCAGTATCTACCAACTTTGGCTTTGTGGTCATCAAGAGAGGTTCTGCTGGTGGGCCTGTGGGACTTCCTTGGTGGTGGCACACCAGTTCTGGAATTCGCTCCTGCTGGACACTTTGTAGGCTCCCCACTCCCCACTATTATCTTTCAGACAACAATATAATACATACTTCTTTGACTGAGCCTTGTGTACACAGCTGGAGTGGAGCTCCAAATAATGCAAATGTCCACTGTCCACTGTATTGTATTTCATCACAGAAATGGGTTATAGCTGTTCTTTTATGCAGCCGTCATTTTTTTTTTTGTTCTTTGTTAGCCCCCCCTTGACCTCTATAGGGTTGAAGGGTGGGATACAAAAACAGTAACACTCCCCACCTCCCTGTTTTGGAGACCAAGTGAAATGTGAGACTAAGCCCTAGTGAGGACTATGGTGCCACAGCTAACTCCCCAGTGCACTATCTGTATCCGCATCTTCTCTTCATGACCCTTTGCAGTGTCCATAGGGAGGCATCAATGTACGTAGATGTGTCTGACACATCTGCTGTGTAAGGTGTGAATCAGGCCTAAGTGATTTTTGTCATGCCTCCCCCCTTCTGTTATTTCTGGGCTGATGAAATGCCCAGGAGATCTTGCAATGGAGCTAAAGCGTACGTACTGTATTCATTTCCCTCCTTGTGTCTGAGTCAGGCTCTGTTGAAATGAATTATGGTTAGAAATGGGCATTTTAGATATGAATTTGTTATAAATTGGGGGGAAAGAACATGGTGTGTGTATTTTTAAGCCACTAGCCATGACATGTGAAGTCTGATATTTACAGATAAATATACCTTTTGGTTTTGCAGTGACAGCCATTTAGGTACCTGGAAGTAGAAATCAGCATATGATAAAAACAAACCAACCCTGGGCCACGTATTGCAGTGCTCCCCAGCCAGCTGCCAAATCGTTGACCAGGCCTGTGGCCAGGCCACAATGACCACTCCCCACATTAAATGGGGGCGCCCTTTGCGTGGTCGCGCACAGCCTCCAGACCCTATGCAGCAACATTAGCACAGGCTTGGCTTCTCCTTCTCCAGGTGGGATACCTGGAGGTCTCTGCCTACCTCAGCCAGTTGCCCAATCCCACCTGGGGAGGCGTTGCCAAGGTGATCAGGCCAGGTAGGGGGAGGGACCACCCTGCCCACACAATAGGGGGAGGATCTTACCTGGGAATCGTCAGTTGGCTCCAGAGCTTCTCCCACCTTACCCACCCTCAGTTAAGACTTCTTTGGCAGGTTAACCTTTTCTTCACAGGTACGCGGGCGCTGCTACGTCAAGGTCGCTGTTGAAGGGCTGGAAAGGAATTCTGCATTGGCAGGTTTGCCTTTCCCGTAGCAAAATGTCACAAGTTTGGTGATATCAGGCTTTGGGCGGAATCCTTTAGTCTACCTTCCCTAAATTGGGGGTGGACGTGTAGTGGTGACTCACACCCCCTTCTCTTTGCGGCGGCGATACCAGGGTTCCCCATTAAAGGGGTTGTTTTGAGAGGAAGCTTTGGCCGTACGCCGAGAGGTTGTCATTGCTCTCCCCTGCGATGGTGGCATAACGGGGGTGGGCTCTCTCTGCTTGAACATATGTTCTCCAGAGCCAGCCCACCCCCCACCCCCCACTGGATAACCCTGATGTTCCCCAGATCCCCGGCGGGGGACTGGGAGGGATCAACGCCCAATGCCTGAGCCAAGGTCTACCCACATCTGAAACATAATAATTTGTGGCCAATTTTAATCCCATAGCACGTTGTCTTGAGTCGTTATTCCACATGGCGGGCGGCCAGGGTTTGGGAGACTCCGCCTGCCCACGCAATGCTGACTTACAGGAGAGGGGGAACCACTTTGTAGAGTTGAAATCTGCAAGGTCATGCAAAGAAAAAAAAGACAGAAAGAAAAGATGGCTTCAGACGCATTCATAAGAGGATCTCCTCCTTCTTTGCTTCTGACAAAGCCTGACTGCAATTGAGCATATTTCTGTAGGCAACTTGAACCGATCCACCTAAATATAATTTAATAGGGAATGGAGCTTTGAAACATGGCATACACCAAGGTGATGTGGTTTTGGTTTTTTTAAAAATTTGGAAAGAGTTCTTAGAGTTTTGATCAAAGTGATCCAAAGTGAAGAATGTCAACCAATATTTATGAGCATTAGCATTATAGTGATATGATTAATCTTATGCCTTTTCTATTTGACAGGACTGTAGATAACATGGGTTGTTGTTAGCTCCTTATTCTGAATCACGAGCCCATTTGTTACACCTGCCTGGTGAAATATGGGGCACACAAACCCTCAGTCACTAATGAAGAACATCCTGAGGTCCATACGTCACTCAATGCACATGATTTCTTTACACTTGATTGCTTTGCAGCCGGCATCACATTTCTGCTCAGCTTTCAACTTCTATTCCATACCCTCCAACTTTACTCTGATGAAAATAGGGACGCCCCATTCCATAATTATAATTTTACTATTTATACACTACACTGGTTTGCCCCAGCCACTCTGGACAGCTTCCAACATATATGAAAACATAATAAAACATTAAACTTTAAAAAACAAAACAAAAAAAACCCTTCGCTATACAGTGGTGCCCCGCAAGACGAACGCCTCGCAAGACGGAAAACCCGCTAGACGAAAGGGTTTTCCGTTTTGGAGGCGCTTCGCAAAACGTATTTCCCTATGGGCTGGCTTCGCAAGATGACAGCCCATAGGGAAATCTCCGGGACAGCGGGGAAGCGCAGCGCGTCTTCCCCACTGTCCTTGGACCTCCTCCGAAGCCTGGCGGCGGGGCGGGGCCACCTCCTCCCGCCGCCGCCGGGCTTCGGAAGGCTCCTCCGAAGCCGGGCGGCGGGGAGGGAACACCTTCGGTACTTCTTGCGAGGCACCACTGTACAGGATTACCATCAGATAGCTTGGGGGGCAGATAACTCCATACCCTCCAACAATGAAAATAGGAACATCTTAAGGGAAAGCGGGACAACCTGGGATCAGATCAGAAACCTGGATGACTTCTCTGAATTAGGGACATCCCTGGAAAATAGGGGCACTTGAAGGGTCTGCAAAAAGGTAAAAAAGGAAAAGGACCCATGGATGGTTAAGTCCAGTCAAAGATGACTATGGGGTTGTGGCGCTCATCTCACTTTCAGGCCGAGGGAGCTGGCGTTTGTCCACAGACAGCTTTCCAGGTCATGTGGCCTGCAGGACTAAACTGCTTCTGGCACAATGGAACACAGTGACAGAAACCAGAGCACATGGAAATGCTATTTACCTTCCCATCGCAGAGGTACCTATTTATCTACTAGCACTGGCATGCTTTCAAACTGCTAGGTTGGCAGGACCTGGGACAGACCAACGGGAGGGTCTGCTAGATTACTGTATATTTTATTATTTATTAAATTTGTAAACTGCCCTTCACCCACAGATCTTAGGGTGGTTCACAACATTTTGTAACTGGTATCTGACTCTATTGGGGGAGGGGGGAGAGACACTTGGTCAGCTCAAGTCAGAGAGAATGTGACCAGGATGGAGTCTTAGGGACCAGACAGAGGAACCCTCAGCCTGTGTCCCAGAGGATTCCTACCACTGAGTTTGCGCAATTGGACAGCAGCTCTTCTTCCCAGTTCATTTCCGAGCACAATTCAAAGTGTGGTGCTGATCTTGAAAGCCTTGGCCTAATATACCTGAGGGTGTGTCTCCACCCGCATCGTTCCGCCCAGACACTGAGGTCCAGCTCCGAGGGCCTTCTGGCGGCTCTCTCACTGTAAGAAGTGAAGCTACAGGGAACCAGGCAGAGGGCCTTCTTGGTGGTGGCGCCTGCCCTGTGGAACGCCCTCCCATCAGATGTCAAAGAAATTAACAACTACCTGACGTTTAGAAGACATCTGAAGACAGCCCTGTTTAGGGAAGTTTTTAATGACTAATGTTTTAATGTATTTTTAATCTTTTGTTGGAAGCCGCCCAGAGTAGCTGGGAAAACCCAGCCAGATGGGTGGGGTATAAATATAGTATCACAGTGGTACCTCTGGTTGCGAATGGGATCCGTTCCGGAGGCCCATTCGCAACATGAAAAGAGCGCAACCCGCAGTGGCGCGTCTGTGCATGCGTGGGTTGCGATTCGCCACTTCTGTGCATGCGTGCGGCATCATTTTGCGCTTCTGAGCATGTGCAAGCGGCAAAACCCAGAAGTAACCCTTTCCAGTACTTCCGGGTCACCACAGGACATAACCTGAAAGAACGTAACATGAAGCAGACGTAACATGAGGTATGTCATCATCATCATCATCATCATCATCATCATTATTATGATTGGTTTTTGTACTGGAATCTTTCCCAGTCATAAGATGGAGATGCTGGGAATTGAAGCAAGGACATTCAAAGCATCTGCTCTGACAATAAAGGCAACACTTTCTCGATAGCACGATGTCTGTGGTAGCCCATTCATAGAAAGAAGGCATTAGTGGGTGCTGTACTAAATCATCAAGTGATGTATATTCAAATAGGAACCAGGTTTGATGTCAGGGATTGGCTGGAAGAGGAAGAGAGGTGGCAGCCAATAGTCTAAGAGGCACCTGAGAGGGAAGCAGACTTCAAACCGGGTTCAGACTGGTGGAGCAGGGAGGAATCATCAGCAGAGAGTGAGGGGGAAGGGGAGAGGCTATCAGCCACAGACTCCTAGAGGAGAAGCAGGGACTGTGTCTCCTGCCCTGCAGTACAGTCCTGATTCAGCTCCTTCTCCATCCCCACTCTCAGCACAGGAAAGAAGAGTTGAGGAAAGGCTAGAACAATTAAGAAAAGCTGAGTCACGGCAAAAAAATACATAAATACAGGGGAAGAGAGGACGGAACTTTAGCTTCTGCAACTGACTTGCTTAGCTGACGGATGTGCCGTGAGCTGTCTCCTTGGTTACTGGGCAATAGAGTTAATTACTGTCAAGCCGTGCCTGTTCTGCTTACAGCATTGAACCACAGACGGAAGGGCTTTTTTGGCAGCCTGACACCTGATGACTGGCAGAAGAATCTATGAGCTAACTATATGTATGAGATTATATGAAAGCTCTGTTACATCTCCGATATCCCATTCATACATCACTCCATGACTGCAGCATCTAGTGCTGGGTACGCTATGTGTGAACCACCCAATAGGTGTGATGTTACCCTTAACTTGGCCATTATTATCTAGACAAAGGGGGTAATGGAGCGAACCAATATAATCTTCTAATTCAGCTTGTGTCACAAAAACCACAACAACCTGCAAGGAACATTAAGCTATTCTAGTTCTGCTCACCGTGTACATAATGCCCATGAATGAGGGAACAGATTTGCAATAAGCGGAATACCAGATGTAGCCAATTCTTTTGCAATTGAATAGATTTTGAATCCAGTCCTAATATACAGCTTTCGGTAATGACCACAGCAAAAATTCACAATATCCAGTCTTAGCCCAAGCATGGGGTTGGCACTTACAGCATTTAGGAAGCAACTTAACTGCTATAGATGTGACCATAGAACAGATGCCTGCTATCTTCTTGTCCAGGCTTCACCAACCGGGCTGTAGCAGCTGAAGCTCATGGAAACTGAAGCCCAAAACATCTGCAGGGAACCAGGTTGAGGAAGGATGCTCTAGCCCAGGGATGTCCAACAGGTCGATCACGATCTACTGGTAATCCTTGGGAGGTTTTGGTAGATTGCGGTCGATCCGTGGGTCCCTTTCCGGCCCTGCACCCTCGCCCCGCCCTCCATTGCACGATCTGCAGAACGGAAGATGGAGTTTACTGATTCAGGTGGATAGCCGAGTTGATCTGTCACAGTCATAATAAATAACAAGATGAAAGATGAAAAAATATTTTTAAAATAATTCCAGTGGCACCTTAAAGACCAACTAAATATAAGCTTTCAAGGTATGAGCTTTTGTGTGTAATATACACTTCGTCAGATACTCTGAAGCAGAGGTCGCTTCAACCTTATAACTGTTGATGACTGTTATGGCAGTTGGTTCCACAGGGAAGGACAAGGGATTTTAAAGGGATAGATGACCAAAATTAGCTTTAGTATATATAATGGGACATGAATCCAATATCTCTATTCAGACCAGGTCTCTCCATGGTTTTTAGTTTGGTAATGAGTTGTAATTCAGCAACTTCACTTTCAAGTGTATTTCTAAAATTCTTTTGCAATAAGACAGCGACTTTATAGAATGTCCTGGTAGATTGAAATGTTCTCCTCTTG